AGAAAAACATTTTCTTTATCGTGCCAACGTTTCGATCTTTATTGAGATCATCTTCAGGGCTCAAAGTATTTGTCTTCTGTGTAATTGTGCCATTCTTGAGTGTTGTGTTGAGACAAACACTTTGAGCTCTGAAGATGATCTCAATAAAGATCGAAACGTTGGCACGATAAAGAAAATGTTTTTCTGAAACCTACATCACACCAGACCGCAGCTCACGATTTCTGAATAATTATCGATTAACGGTCACTAATCAACACACATTACTGCAAATAAAATTTTCTCTCTCTCTCTCTCTCTCCCACTTACTCTTTTTAAGGATATCTACAAATAAAAGTGCACTTTACATATTTAAGTTGGTATATTATTCTTAAATTTTTTATTAATTTATCTGTATTATTACTAGTAAATTAACAATTTTAATAAAACACAAAAAAATTATTTGTGGTTGCTAGCCTTCAGAACGTTTAGTTATTTTACAAGGCTAGAAATGAACATAGTGTGTTAGTCTCGAAGGTTCTTTCAGCTTTGTTTGGTTGAAAGTTGTCCAAAAATTCAATTGGTCTTCTATTTTTCTTCTCTTGTAAATATTGCAAATTGTAAAGTTAATCTAGCTACTTTATAAGGGGATGTGATTCTATTTTGAATTTTTTGTTTTCCATTGTTTTTGGTATTTTTCAATGGTCCATATAGGTAAGTTTATTTCTAGATTTAAAGGAGATTTTTCTTTTTTTGACGCTTCTTTAAATTAAGGATTTGAGGTTAGGACCGTATACCCGACTCACCAATCATAATTTATAAAAATGCAAATACAATTTATGTTAAGTCCAGCAAAACTTATCTTACATAGTGTATGTCTTTTGGAAAAAGGACAAAGAACCAAACGAACTTATATTCTGATCACCAAGTTGTGCTCAAAGCACTGGGCCCACCTAAAGTAAGATCCCATACATACAGTATGAGACTACGTGAGTACATTAGGCTTTAGAAGGAGCACTAGAGGTACAACTGTCTCGAATCATTGGGTCGAATATATCATGATAAAAATTCATACCTGTGAAACTTCTCCCCAGGACAGAGGCAGTCAAAAGATTTCTTCTAAAAAGTCTCGTTTAAACTAACTAGAGCTGTACCAGAAACAAAATTCAGTATCATTCGCATCGCAAAATTTAACAGTTGTAAAAGACAGGCTTTATAATGTCTGCTGATCGTCGTTGCGAATGTACCATGGTGCATTCACAATGCTCCGTAACATTTTGTTTCAAAACGTCTGTATCATCTTCACTTTAGTTTTCTTGGTACAGCCCCAAAGCTGAACACCATAAGTCCATACAGGCTTTAGTACTTACTGATAAAGGAGCACTTTGCTGTGCGTATCCAATTCTGAATATCGACCAGTACATTTCCGAAATTTGATTTTGCGTTCTTGTCATTTTTTCTTAACATGCTCTTTCCACTCGAGTTCAACATCTAAGGTTATACCCAAGTACTTTCGCTGCATTTGCATATGGTACACTAGCTGCATTAATTTCTAATGGAATAATGCCAAACTTTCTATTGGTGAAGTTAACATAGATTTTGTCTCGTTTAATTGAATGCGCCACTTTACTTTCCACTTAGAGACCTCTGTGAGAGCTATTGGGTTGTCCGGAAAATAATGCAGGATTTTAAGTTTTCATTAAAAAAAATCTATATAAAATATTCTGTTTACGTTTACAGGATTACTCATTTGTATGNTGGGAAATTATTTTGATTAAAGAACATTGCTTTAAAGTAACTAGTTTCTTTTTTTTTGTTTAATACCAAAATCCTGCATTATTTTCCGGACAACCCAATATTTGAAGCTTGGCCGTTGCTTCTTCAACACTGTCTCCAGTGGCCAAGATGGCGGTATCATCCCAAAACGTAGGCACTGTAGTCGGATCTTCTTGAGGCAAGTATAGAAGGTATAAGAGGACCAAAGACACTGCCTTGTGGCACTCCCGCTGATATCTCTCTCAGAGAGGAGTACCCATCGTCATGTCTAATTTTGAACCTCATGTCAGCCAGGTATGATCGCAGAATCAATAAAAAAAATACTGTGGAACCGTTGGAACTTGAACAGCAACCCGTGGTACCACACTTTATCAAAGGCTTGAGCGACATCCAGGAAGACACTCGAGCATACTTTCTGTACTTCCATTGTTTTTTTCAATTACATTAAATACACGGTGGACCTTGAGTTGAGTGCTTCTCGCGAAATTTGTTTTCCTAATTTCAATGTATAAACTTAAAAGTGCCACATAGTGCTGAGGATGTTGCGCGTGGTGTGGCACTTATTGATGATGGATGTTCCATTGCTGTTGCCATCGGATTTCCCTACGAAACACTGCGAGACGTCGTTAGACGTTTTCGAGAAACTGGGTCCTACCATAAAGGGCCCGGTTCGGGACGCCCTAGGGTAACGGAAGCACAGGATGACCGCTTTTTGGTTGGAGAATTTTGCGAAACTGTCACCTTACTGTTGTTCAAGCGATTCATCAGGAAGTCCGAGGTGTCCAAATTTCTGAACGCACTGCTCGAAGAAGATTAAATCAGTATGGACTGATCGCTTTCCCCTCCGTAAGAGGTCCAGAATCGATCTGAACACAGTTGCACGGCTCCCATTTGCTCGAGAACACAGCCATTGGTCTTTGGACGATTGGTCTGCTGTACCTTTTACCGATGAGTGTAGATTTGTTCTACGATCTCCAGATGGGTAAAAGTACGAAGCCTGTAATTTTTCCCAGAGCCAACCTTTTCAACGCAACTCAGCGATTGTCGGGCGAGAATAGCAATGGACAGTCGCACAGATATAGCTGTGGTTCATGGAGGGTCATTGACGGCCACTCGCTATGTGGATGAAATTTTGGAACACCATGCCTATCCTCGATGAAATCAGTGACAATCCTATTCTAATGCACGATAATGCCAGTCCACATGTCGCTCGCATAGTACAAGCGTACCTTCATTGGGTCTTAGCCCGGCCAGCCCGTTCTCCAGACTTGAACCCCATCGAACGTTTATGTGATAACCTCAAAAGACAAAGCACGAGAATCGCACAGAGTTGGTTGTTGTTCGTGGAGAGTCTTTGACGGCCACTCGCTATGTGGATGAAATTTTGGAACATCAACCGGAATAATTATCCTCGATGAAATCTGCGACGATCCTACTCTAATGCATGATAATGCCCGTCCATATGTCCTGGCATAGTACGAACCTTCAACAGCATTACATCAGGAGCTTTGCCAGCCCGTTTTCCAGCCTTGAACCCCATCGAACGTATATGGGATAACCTAAAAACGAATAAGAGCACGTCCATCACATCCTGATACACTACACGATCTTGAAAGGACTTCGTGAAGAATGGGCTAACCTCCAGCAAAGAGACTTTTCCAGACTGGCAGAAAGTATACCGAGGCGTCTTCGAGATGTAATTATGGCAAGAGGAAGAAATTTTCGATATTGAAATCTTAATTAAAAATCCAAAACAAAATTAAACAAATTTTATCTGTCTTTCTTTTTTTAATGTTTTTTTTTCATTTTCCTTAGTAAATTACTTTTAGACAAAGACAAATATAAATATATACAGATCAAGTTGTAATAGAAATGGGCGGAATTTTTTTCCTGTCAGCGTATTTGACGACAATTGCTAAGCTCGCCAGCAAAAGAGGTAAACAGAGGCTCGGACTACTTCGCCTAAGCTCGTCAGCCCCTTCCACAGGACCAGCCGTGGAGTTCCGCCCGTGGTGAAGCTCGTCCAGTTTCGTCAGTGCGGCACACGAGATAGGTGCTTAGCACGCCCTTTTCCTCCAGTTGAGTTCGCGTATTTTCAGTGATTTGTGACACCTTGTTAAAACACCCTGCGGATTACCTTTTATCCAAGTAAGACATTTAATTTCTATATTTGCTCAAGTTAAAAAAAAAAAAAAAAAATAAATTGCTATCAGGCTCAAAAAATATGTACGACGTAATTGAAATTTATTTTAATTTGTTTTAAAATGTCGATGTTCAATTTTGTCATAAATTACATGTTCATAATACAGTGACAGGAAAAAAATTCCGACCACTTGTAATACTACTTGATTTGTATATTTTTTTATATATTAATCAAAGTTTTACGTTTATTAAGTCTGTCAAAAAATGTAAATTGCTAAGGAAAATTAAAAAAAAAAAATTAAAAAAGAGAGACCGATAAAATTTGTTTTAATTTTGATTTAGATTTTTAATTAACATTTCAATATCGCGTATTTCCTCCTCTTACCATAATTACATCTCGAAGACGCCTCGGTATACTTTCTGCCAGTCTGAAAAAGTCTCTTTGCTGGAGGTTAGCCCATTCTTCACGAAGAGTCCTTTCAAGATCGTGGAGTGTATCAGGAAGTCATGGACGTGCTTTGTCTTTTGAGGTTATCACGTAAACGTTCGATGGGGTTCATGGAGAAACGGGCTGGCCGGGCTAAGACCCAATGAAGGTACGGTTGTACTATGCGAGCGGTATGTGGACGGGCATTATCGTGCATTAGAATAGGATTGTCGCTCATTTCATCGAGGATAGGCATGGTGTTCCAAAATTTCATCCACATAGCGAGTGGTCGTCAAAGACCCTCCATGAACCATAGCCATATCTTTGCGACTGTCCATTGCAATTCGCGCCCAGACCATCGCTGAAAAGGTTGGCTCTGGGAAAAATTGCAAGCTTCGTACCTTTACTCATCTAGAGATGGTAGAGCAAATCTATACTCATCTGTAAAAAGTACAGCAGACCAATCGTCCAATGGCTTTGTCTTCGAGCAAATGGGCGCCGTGCAACTGTTCTGGTCAATTCAGGTCCTCTTACTGGACGAAAAGCCATCAGTCCATAATGATTTAATCTTCTTCGAGCAGTGGTTTCAGAAATTTGGTCACCTCGAATTCCTCGAGCGGATGAATCGCTTGAACAGTAAGGTGCCGGTTTCGCAAAATTCTCGTCAAAAAACGGTCATCCTTTGGTCGACACTCTTACCCTAGGATGTCCAGAATCGTAGCTTCTATGGTAGGACCCAGTTTCTCGAAAACTTCGGCGTCTTGCAGAGTTTCATATGGAACTCCGATGGCAATAGCCGCATACCCGATGGAACGTCCATCATCAATAAATGCCGCACCACGCGCAACATCCTCAGCACTAAGAGGCATTTTCAAGTTCAAAAATTGAAATTAAGAAAACAAAGATGAAAAACTAACCATTTTATTGCTTCAGAATTCAAACGAGACTGAATAAACATTTTAAATTCCGTAAAGAGTAAACATTGAAAAATCCTTCATCCTTGTTTTGGATTAAGGATTAAGTGTGTTTACGTCTAATTGATATTCCCTATTAAAACATATCATAAACAAATATTTATTGATAAAAACAATAATACAAATTAAGGGGTGAATTTTCTTTTACTTACTTTACTTGTATACGTTAATAAAAAATTTAGTCTTCTTCAATCTTTTAAACAATTTTATTTAATTTTCCCATTGGTTTTGTTATTTATGGAGAGAACTATATGATAGTTGAATTAATTGATAATACGAGGGGATAACGTTCTGGGTTCGAATCTCGGCGTAGGCAATTGCTTTATATTGTGAATAATATGAAAAATGCATTACAAATTGCCAACAATAAATTAAATACTTGCAAAGACAGTGACAGCATTGGGCGACTGGTGATAAGTGACGAAAATTTCAGGTGTTTCTACTCAGCAACAGAAAACTTCCTGTCAACCCTTGTCCAAATTTCAACGGTAAAAAAGTAATTTCAGGTTTGGGTTTTTTTTTAAGTTTTCGACTTAGGTCCACTAAATTGCTTGTAAACGTCAGAAATTCTGACTGTAGAAAAATCTGGTTTGTGACACCTGAAGCTGAAAGAAAACCTATTTACATTGGAGAATTGATGAAAAAATTCTGCACGAAAAATTCAGAAAAAAACAAAAACGTTGAAATTTGGAATTTGAATTTTGAAATTTGGTAACTGTTAATAACTACAAACTCCTGGAACTTTGAAAATCCTCTCAAAAGCTCTCCATTCGATTAGCTTCCAGCTGTATACCCACTTTTATGGATTGCGCTTCTGGAAGACCCAAAAATTTAGCGTTTTGTTGATAGAAACTGGTGTCGATGAAGGAGGGCACGCTCAGTTTTTACAAATCCGTCTGGCTTTTGAGTTTCATGTCAGTTCTTTTTTGTTAAATTCAATCAGTTTGCTTTATGTTATCAGCAGACAACGGCCTCAGGGTGGTGATTTAAATTAGATCTTTGTTTCCCAATGCACATCTTGCTCATATGCATTTCATTTACGGTTACTCGGTAATCCTACTGCTGCAAGGAGAAAATACAAAGCTCGTTTTCCACATCGAGACGTCCAGAGCGCACCTTCCAACGACTTCATCAGAGGTTGAGGGAAACTGGTTCTTGAAGGACTGTTATAGCTTTATTTTTGGTTCTATCATTCGCCACGCGGAGAATTTCGGAATAATTAATGTTTAACATGCTAAGAAATGAACGGGGCGTTCACGATCTTACGGGACATTTCTCGATTCGAGTTTACACGAGTTAACATCTAACAAACATCGTGAATACCCCTGTAGTCTTTCAAAGAGTAGTTTATATATGATTAAATGAGTAGGTAAAGAATTATTTATTTCAGTAAAAAGAAAATTATTGAAAGATTTAGTGTCATGAGAGGGATTCGAACCCACGAACGAAGTCACGATAGCTCAAGTGTTGGAACAGCGTTGTATTCAGCCGATGGTCGTGGGTTCGAATCCCGCTCGTGACACCAACATTTTACAACCAAGGCGTTAGATAAAAAGAATAATTAATTGAACTGAAAATAGTTTTTAAAGCATCTTTACCATTGGAGTTAAAATAATTATTTTTGAGGCTTGTTACTATCCATATCACATTATTAAACGATCATGGGTCTAAATGAAATTAAATTTCTGTTGCTGTTGCTATATGCCCTCTGCTAAATTTCATTCTTCATCAAGATACTTGATATATTTATTCAGAAAAAATTACAAAGTTGTAGTCTTAAAGCGAATGCGATTCTACTGCTCTTCGAGCTGCCTTGTTTTACTAAGTTGTATCACTGTCACAACAAATTTTATTTTAATTATAATGAAACAATTATACAAATGTATAACAATAACAACAAACATATAAAACATACACAAATATATATAACAAAAATTAAAATATATAAAGACTACAGGTATTTCTATGGCGTATCCCTAGCGTGAAATGTTCGTTACGAAATATTTATTTTAAAACTGTCCGTTGATGAAAATTGAATTTACATTTTTAAATGTTTCCGTGAGATATAAAGCCTCATGAATGACGGAATGACAACATCCTAGCATCAAGCATAAGCGGACCAATAAATTATCGTTTATCATTAGTTGATACCGTCTGAAACTGCATGTATTCTGTAAGAACACATCTTTTAGAGTTATAATTGTTTGGTCTTTTGAGTGGTGTCTAAGACAACCAACTGTTATCATGATGATGAACAATTATGTTATCATTAAATTTTAAATTTACTTGGCCTTGTCAAAGGTAAGCCCGGACTCGTGCAATTTTAAAAACGCAGCTCCTCCGATTTGCCGGACATGTTAACTGCCACTGGTTAAACTGACTAATTGGCTGATAAAAACACCAAGAGTTAAAAAGTAAGAGCGCACAGGCGATTTTTAGCCCGATTGGTAGAACCAAAAATAAAGCTCTGACAGTCCTTGAAGGCTTGTTGATGTTTGTTATGTGTTAAATTGTAAGATGCGAGGAGTTAGTCAAAAGAAGAATTAATCAACTCTTTCATTCAAACTACTATCTATGCACTCGAAAAGTACTAACAAATAACACGCTTCCATTCGTGCCGACATACCTAACCTGTATCCTAACCTCTAACAGCCCACAACTTTAGAGGACAGGGGGATGTATCTGTTATGAATGAGAGTATAATGACAGGTCAGAAATTAACAAAAGAAATGTATTGATCGGATTAATTAATGCGTATTTAAGAATAAAAATACGTGCAAACAAAAAACAGCTGTTAAATTCATGGCCGCCATGTTGGTTACCTACGCCCTAACGGATAGCAATGTGTCTACATTTTCGAGCTAACATCTAACATTGGCCCTGGCCTGTTAGATCTAGCAATGTTAACCAGCCGATTCTTACAAATCCACGTCATCATTTTTCTCGATCTAACACGACCTACTGAGTTGGTTAATATAAAGATCGTGAATACCCCTATCATATGGAAAAATTGGAATTTTTTTGTTGCAAATAAATAAATATGTTTAAGGCTGGTAGTAATTATATTGAAGGTGTCTCTTTTTCAATCTTGGTTATCTTTTAAGATATTGTAGTTCTACCTTCTACCGATCGTAACAGTTTAAAGGGAACGTTTTTTTAAATTAATTTAATGACTGCAAATGCTAAGGTTTCAACATTTTTCAGAATCGCCCAATTTTATGAGATGCTCTTACCGGAAAAAGTCTTAAGCCAATAGCGACAGGGGCTGGCGAGATGATCTTCACCATTAAACCTGTGAACACGACGTCATCCGTCTGTCCCTGAATATTTTTATTCCAGTCTTCCAGTCGGCAAAAGAAATGTATTGGTCTGATTTAATTAATGCGTATTTAAGAATAAAAATACGTGTAAACAAAAAACAGCTGTTAAATGCATGGCTGCCAAGTTGGTTACCTACGCCCTCTAACGGATAGCAAAGTGACTACATTTTCGACCTAACATCCAACATTGGCCCTACCATGTTAGATCGAGCAATGTTAACTCGCCGATTCTTGCAAGTCTCCTTCATCATTTTTCTCGATCTAACACGACCTAACATAGTTAAC